GCTGTCTCTCTGGCGCCCTCTAGCGGAAATTAAAACCAAGACGTGTTTTTTTGTCTTTGTCAGTTGCTGTATTGTATTTTTGTTTATGCTCAGGCAGTGATAAGTCAACAACAAAAATATTTTTATATTTCTATATAATATATTTATATTATATATTAATATAATACATATTTATTATGTACTATATCCAGTGGTGGCTCAATGGTTTAGGCTCTGGCTTACTGCTCAGAAGGTCAGGGGTTCAAGCCTTAGCACTTCCAAGCTGAAATCCAATTTTGAGACTCAGTAGCATGTGGAAAAATGTTCTCTTGTCTGAAGATCAAAAGTGAACTTTTTGGCCTTGGCACAACAAGTGCAATAGTTGATGGAAACTCAACCCTGGGAAACCTCATGCTTTTTGTCATCGGGGATTGGGAAACTCCGAGCTGAGGGCAAGATGGAGCCAAATACAGAAAGCTGTTCCAGTAAGAGACTTGAAATTAGGGTGGAGGTTCACCTTTCAGCAGTACATCAACTCTAAGCATACTGCCAAAGCTATACTGGAGTGGTTTTAAACTAAGAACCTGAATGTGTTAAAATGACCCAATCATAGCAGAGACCTCTATCTAATTCAGAAACTGTGGAAATACTTGAAAATTGGCATATCAAATTACAACTTAGAGTACATGAAGAAGGAAGGTTTTTATTTAGAATAGAATAGAATAGAGTTTTATCAGAATAGAAAATAATAGATTAGAATTTATTTCTTAAATTATTTACTTCTTATAGAAAGAAGACATCTTTGGTGATGGCACTATGCACAAACTAATCTTTTATGCATTTAAAAAATACTATAGTTTCTATCAAGAACGCAGAGGAAAAGAAGCAGTGAGTAGTCGTGAAAGGTGAGTAATCATGAAGGAAAAGGTTACTCGCTTTTATTACTTGTATATCTACTCTCTCAAAGAAGAGTTTTTAAAACGAAGAATGAAGCAGTGAGAGGGCGGGACAAACAATGTTGATCAGTGATTGGTTGTTGGGAAACAGTGGTGATCAGCGATTGGTCGCATGCGGAACTCAGTCAGGCATTACACACTGATTGTGAGTGGAGTGAACCTGCTCTCTCAACTCGTATATGAGCGGCTGTGATGTGAGCTGGAGAGCTGGATCAGCCTCAGGACAGTCACTAAGGTGTGCTACAAAAGTATCTGGGCTCTTTTTTTTAATTACAGTCGCTAAAACGGTCTAAATAAAATCTAGTGTCAAAGTCTCTATGTTGGCAACACTGTATGAGAAAATAGTGTACTGTGTCTTTAAACTGTGTCGGTGTGAAAAGTTCATGCTAGTTCAGCGTCAAAGCCGAGCAGCCCGCCTCCCCTTCCACCTAGCCCCTCCCCCTCCTCACCTAGCCCCTCCCCCGCCCCCCTAGCCCCTCCCGCTCCCCCGCCCCCCTAGCCCCTCCCGCTCCCCCGCCTCCCGCTCCCCCTCCCCAGTGTTTCCGCCCGAGCAGCGCTGAGCGGTCCGAGTTAACACCATGTAAACACTCCTCAGACCTTACTGATAATTATTTATCGAGCAGCGGCGGCGGCTGAAGAAGAAGGGTTGCGCGGATTAAAGCTAGCGGAGGGAGACTGAACATTACGGCCGTGATTAACACACTGCAGCAGCAGCAGATGGCCGGCGACAGCGGGGAGAGGAAACGGCTGCCGAAGAGACCTTCATCCGGCCACCGAGCGGAGAAAGCGAGCGGCAGCGGAACCGAGACGGACAGGATTCCGGCCAGACTCGTGAGCTGTGGGGATCGAGGGGGACGTAAGGAGCGGAGAGGGAAAGAAAACAGCGCGGGGAGAGCGAGCGCGTCGGCGCGCGCAAACCCGGAGAAGATGGAGGACGCGGAGTGCTGCGGATCCGCCGACAGGGCAGACCCCGGCCTCTTCTTCGATGAGGACAGCAACCACATTTTCCCAGTAGAGCAGTTCTTCGGAAACCTGGACGCAGTTCAGGTAACATTACCACTTTTCCACGTGTCTGAATTTTATTCGCCACGTGATGTACCGGTTTTATTCATTTGACCTTGGCTTATAATTATTAGTTGTCTCGTCATAGCTGAAGGTGTTTTGTTTGTTTTTTTTTTCTCCCCCAAAATATGAAAGCAGACCGCTAGTCTTCCCAGTGTAATGGTAATATGTGTTAAGAGAGCTCTAGGCTCTGGTTTAGCGGTAGCTCAGTGGATAAAATGTTGGCTTACTGACCGGAAGGTTGTGAGTTCAAATCCCAGCTCTGCTAAGCTTAACCCTCAACTATTCAGGTGTATAAATGAGATAAATGGAAGTCGCTCTGGATAAGGACGTCTACCAAATCCCGTAAATGTAAATAGGTTAGAACCATCATTAGGATCCCTGCACTTATATGTCCCAGCTTTGTGAATGCACACGTGCCTGATCCAAAATTTTTCTCACCATATAATCAATCAGTCCTGAATGCATAGCTTACACTGGGATTTAGTTGGTGAATGAGCCCTACTTCTTTCATAGGTGCCAAAATGTAGAACAATAGTGTTTAATTTATATTATTTATTATATAAATGTAATCAAATCTGAAGCAAATAAGGCTTTTCTGTCCTAAAAGCTTAATTTTGCTAACTAGAATTACTTAGCTTTTAGCCTTTCCTTGTTTGTTTTTTTTTTTTTTCTCATTATGATGCCAGAAAGTCTTCTTAGTTTCTATATTCATGCTCCATGTGCCTGGCTGGCTCAGTCAGTAAAGCATAAGACTCTTTATCTCAGGGTTGTGGGGTTGAGCCCCACACTGGGCTTTCAGCCACTGGGGTTTCACAAGCTAGTGCAATCTCACTGTTGGTCCCAAGCCTGGATAAAAATGGAGGGCTGTGTCAGGAAGGACATCCAACATAAAACCTCTGCCAAATCACGTATGCAGATCATAAAACCGGTTTTCCGTAATGGAGATGGTGCAGCAGATAGAAGATGTTCTGACAGTATGTGATTCAGTAAAGCTTTTAAACTAGCAAAATTAATACATTTTGTTTTTAATTATACCACAGTGCTGATTGGTCAGAAGGTGTTGATTAATTTTCTCTAGCAGCAGCTCTGACATTACAGCTGGTCGTTATCCTAATCACAGTTCTATATTAATACACTTGTTTCAATACATTATCGCTTCTATAGTAACACAGTGTACACAGAGACTTGTATGGCAGACACTCCATATAATATAAGACTTAAAATATACATATTACAAAAGAAAGAGTCTCCAGTGTCAGCACTTTTGTAACAGTCTGTAAATTTTCCTCCATGGGAAAGTCTGCACTTTTTTTTTAAACTTGTCTCATGGATGTTCCACAATGTTCAATAGCTGGTAAAAACAATGCTGTTCTTTAATAAAAATACAGTTTGATTTGTTGGCGATTTGCTGTGGTGTAAGAGGAATAAAACGCCTCAGGACCTGCTGTTATAGGAAACCGCCCACTTGTTGATTATTTTCATATAACAGCGCTTCCCATTTTACTTTATTCCTTCCTCCTCGAATATGTATAAGTTTAATTCAGATAATACTGCATACATTACAAAAGTTTTGTTTACTTGTCTTAAAAGGTAAAAAAAAACACTTTTATTTCTATCAGATTCTACATAGAATTTCAGAAGTATTTCTTGAGGTAGGATAGTGACAGGTATTTCACAGGAGATGGGACACCAAAGGCAAATCAAAGCAAATTAAAAAAAAAAATCCCATAATAGTTAAATTCACACAACACATCAGTTGATTGATTTGATAGAAGGAATACATTTGACTATTCTATAACAAATATTTGTTTATGAAGGAGTGTAAAACTGTATTACATCATTCTATTATTACATTTCTGTCAAATTATAGCAGCGGAGCTCAGCTCTATTCTGTTTGCTCACATGAGTTCCCCCTGATTTAACACCGGCATGTACCTTTCTACGAATATATGCAAGAGCTTTGTTAAACCTGTGTTACAGAAAAGACCAAAAGCTCACCACTTTTTCTTTTCGACTCGCTTTATCCTCACCCTCAGATCCATGAATTGGATTGATTGTTTTGATTAAATATTTTTTGTGATGTTTACTTTAGCAACATATGGGGCTCCTCCCAGTACTGCTCCCATAGACTTTATCCCTGTGAAGGCCGTGCTTAAGCACACAGTTTAATATTGAATGTTGTGTCCAAAAATAAATAAATAAATAAATAAACCAACAAGCTTACTTTCTGGTGAATATGATTAAAAAAAAAAAACAGTGATTAATTTCAGATGAACTTTTACGCTGTACAGTTTCATACAGTCTCATGCAGCTGTTGATAAAGAACATTTCGATTTCTCTTATTTTCCGTCTTATATTTTTCTGCAGGACATTTCACGCAAATCTACTGGCACAGAGGGAATGAGCAGGCGAGAGTACAGGAGGCGTCATTACTACGCCAAAGAGGACAGTGACGAGGAGCAGACATAACACACACGCAGGCTGACTTTAAAACTCTGACGCAACTATTGTATGTACGTTTATTGAAAATTTGTACAGTCATTTGTAATAATGGCAGAAGAAAGTTTTTCTTTATGTACAGAAAAAAGGTTCCAAAAGAACACTTGTGTGGGTTTATCTAATGTTAAAAACTATAATTCTGAAGTTGTAAAGAATTTTATTTTGTAAGCAGCTCTGTGTGAGGGCGGAGTTTTAACTAATTTAATGTAACTTTAAAAAAAAAACTTTTTAAAAGGATTTTACTATTTCTATATGACGTCCACCTGTTTTTCCATCCACTCTCAGTTCTACCATCATCCTGAGTGCGCAATATTTTACTATCAGTCAGTCTCATTTCAGGGATTATCTTTGTAACAGTCGTAATCACAGTGAAGAAGGTTTTTGAGTATTAAACCAGCTTGAGTTTTTTAATTTTCAGTGTTGCAGCTACAATACAGTGACTCGATAAAGAGCATATTAAAAATATTGCAAAAATATATTAGCAGAGCTTAAAACAATGCCTCAGCTTCTTTTATAAAAAGAACTAAATGTAATTTTGATTTTCAGGAGGTTTTTCTGCTGTGTGTTGGTAAAGTAAGTCTGAGTAGCACTGATTGTAAATCAAGAGCTTACACTTGTGAAAAAGTACAGGAGTACGTGGGATTGAAGTCTAATATGAAGCTTTATGAAAGTTGAACTTGCATGGCACAGAAGCACAGTAGTGCTGCAGGAAGAGAAAGGTACATCAGAAGGTAGTTAATCTGTATTTAATTGAATTTTTTTTTTTTAAATGTGAAATACATTGAAGATGAAGAGCTTGAAGAAACCCTGGGCCCTTCAGCATGGCTACATACATTCACACACAAACACACACACACACACACACATCCTGAGCTCAGGTTACTGTCTGTGTGGAGTGAATTGGCAACTCTAAATTGCCCCTGGGTGTAAACGAGTGTATGAACGTGTGCGTGCATGTTGCCCAGCGATGGACTGGTGTCCCATCCAGGGTATATTCCTGCTTCATCCCAGTGTTCCCAGGATAGGCCCCAGAGCCACCATGACCCTGCCCAGGATAAAGCACTTACTGAAGGTGAATGAATATTATACACAAGGCCAGTTTTATCATGTGCAGGTATAAACATGTTCATAACTTCCCTTGCCAAGAAAGACGCTTTTAAGCTACAACATTTACGTTTTGGTATTATATAATTCATTAGCATGTCTGTACATAAAATAGCTTTGCATATCATTATGAAGCACATAAGTTAAGAACATAATTGGTAGCTGCAGTCTTATAGACAGATTGCAATGTGACAAGACAAACGTAATGTGGACAGGAGGTTCGTTTTATACGTCATGTGATGTCAGTTAAGTGCCTCAGTCAGGAAAAATCGTGTTAACATCTGTAAAGACTGACTATGCTGTTGGTTCTTAAATACCAGTTTGATGTTTTTTCTGCTTCTGTAAGTGTAATATTCTCCTTGATCATATATATATATATATATATATATATATATATAAAAATGAGGATATTACATTTACATGCTTTATTATATATTTGTGTAATATTTATATGTAATCACGTAAATGTTCTATAAGTTTGAATTACATTGTAAATCTGAACTTGCCAAGATTGCCAATATATATATATTGTTCTGTTGTACGAAACATTTGCACTAACTTTATATACAAAGATGTGACTTGTAAAATTTTATATTCACGTGTGCATAAATTATTAGGTAAAATTCTTATCTGTCTTGGTTTACAATGACGTCTCTATTTTTGTATTAAAAAGACAAATCTTTACTTGCTAATTTTGTTATGAGATGCTTTGTTTATATGATGTTAATATTTAAATGTTAAGAACATTCTGTATTACTCTACTTCACACTTTACAATACTCTGTAAAAAAAAAAAAAAAAAAGTACAATACTCTGTCCAGACAAAGTAAATGTTTATTGATTTGAGAACAGCATGAAATTAAATGGAATTGTTGTAACTTATGAAAGGGCCTGTGTGTCTTTTGTATTAATGAAGCTGTTATTCTGCCTAAACCTTATAATGCTTCAAGAAATAGACACTATTCAAATACACATTTTATGCACAACTCTACATTTTTAATGGGTTTTTAACAATATTTTTCGGAAAATTTGGCTCACTCTTTTTCGCTGTTTTGGTAGACTGACAGTTGGAACAGAACCATAACTATTTGGTTTCATTTAAAAAATGTCAATAAAAATATATTCTGGTACCAGTTAATGTAGAAAACATAAATTTCATAGAATTAAATATGTAAACAAAAAGTGACTCTTTCAAAAAAAACACAAGGAATCTTTCACAAATAAGGCACAAAAATGTTAAATTGACAAAGCTTTCCCAAAAACCTGAGTGTGCTAATGAAAGTTTGACCAACATTGCTCAGACATCACGCATAAAATCACAAGGACAATTCCTTAATTTCACATTTTAAAACTGAATACAAAAAGTGTACATTGTTCAAAAATATACTTATCTCTTTTTCAAACAAGATCAATTGCTGAAATATAAATCACACCTCAAAAACATTAGGAAAGCATTAAAAATGCTATTCTTTTCCACTGGATAGAAAATCACAATTCTCCTGAGTTATTTATGGCAACTCTAGTCATGAGGTAATCACTATCCGCTTCACTTCCTTTTAACCCGTCTGTATACTTGGCGTGAATCACATGTTAGGTCATGAGCTCCTTTCTTGTGGCAGACGATGTGAACCAGCTTGAGATTTTCTCTTGTGAATAGCAGCTTGTAGAAATAGTCCAGGTTTATATCACTGCTCTTTTTACCTTGAAGTGCATTGACAAGAGTGGGTATGATGGTTCTCTTCTTCTCAATCCTGAAACAGAGGAGCTTTAGAAAGTTATTTTGTGGTATGAGTAAAAGAAAAAGGTTCAACCTAAGTAATATTTTCTGGTGTTCAGTGACTTCTTTTAAAAAAAATAAAGAAAGAAAAAATAAAGGAAAAAAAAAAAAACACCCAGGGTCCCTGAACCTAAAACCATGGAGCAAAGAAAAAGAGAAAGAAAGAGGAGAGCCCTACACTGTGCACCTGTACTGTGGCAGTATCGTAGTCTATGATGTTTATTTTGCTAGTTGAAACATACAGAAGTGATAAAGTTATATTTCTGCTCACCTATGGTCCAGATTCCAGGTGCTGAAAAGGATTCTACTCTCGCGGTTACCATACGGGTTTATTGAGTGGAGCGATTCACACTGGTCCAGATTAAAAGCACCCTGATAACACACCACAAGTATAAGAAAAGTCTAAAGTGATACA